GGAGCTGTCTGCAGCGCGGCTTCCATAATTACTAACTCTAGTTCAAAGACTTTTATGCAAAGGAACAATGGGGACCAAAACAGTGTTGCAGTGTGTTATGTACTACAGTGATCTGCCGTGATGGAAGGGCTTGCCCTGTCAGACAGACCTGCTTTTTGTGCCTCTGTCTTCTTCATAGCACAGTGGTAATTCCTACCGGTAAGGAGGCTATTGTCCATCTTTTGAGATGGATGTCTAAGAAGATGAAAACAAATTTTCTCAAAAAGGAAAATGCCAGCCAAATTGTCCTCAGTGAGTGTGCAGGAGACACATGTGCTTTCGCTTCATTTTCCTGCCTTCCCTTTGTATTGAGACTCGTGGCCTTTCTGCTCTCAGCAGGATGTAAACAACTCTGGGCCATGACCCACCACGTGGCCAGGCCCTGGCATCTCAGAGTGTTCACCATGCCGCTTCTGCTGCAGCCTGGCAGTCAGTGACCAACATTATGACTGGGCAGCCCCCTGCAGCCAGAGCCGTATCTACGTAGCAGAGAAATGCTTTGTTTAAACCAGTCATTCTCTATTCAGTCAGCACTGATGAGACAAGGTTCACCCCAGCTGTGGTCACCTGGAGAGGCCATAAAACTTTCTGAATTATATTATCCCTTAATGACTGCCATGTATTTGCTGAGACATGGTTTATTTTCAGTCAATTGCTTCCTTCCCAGCACAAACCCAGAATAGAAGCCCAGTGTATTTGCACCCTGAAGCCAAAGCTACAGGCAGCACCTTCAAATTATCACTAAATAACATAAATCTATCCTGGCTGGTGGACTGCTGGGAGGGGAAGAGGAAAAAGAGAGAAGCAGTGGCATCTAGGCTCAGAGTGGCATCTCCCTCAGAGGGAGGGGTGGCTCATTTCTTCTCATCAAGAACATGGGAATCCTGGAGATGTCCAAGTCAGAAGTGGTCAGTGTGGTTGGGTTGCTCCAGGGTTCATCCACACTGACTGCCAAGAATGGATCTGTGGTCCATCAGCTCTGTTTGCACTACATGAGATGCTCACCAAAACAGTACTGTTTCATCCTAAAATTCATTGGAAAAAGCACATCTAAAAAAAAAAAGTGAAACTGCCTGGCCAGAACCAGCTTGTAACCTTATTCTCAGTTTCATAAGGTGAGATGAAAAGACAGGGATGTGAAATACATGGACTGGGTAGTAGCTGGGGCTTGCTCCATGCCTAGACAGTTTCCCAAGTGCAGAATGACCAAAGGCGCTGAGGTCTTAGGGCAAAAGGGATGTTTGGAAGAACCTCACAGGGGGAAGTGATTTTGCTGTGAGTCACCCTCAGCTCAGGTCTGATATCCCTGCCTAAAGATGAAGAGGTAATCGTCTCTGATTAATGCTGGCAAATCTCTGTGAACTTCAGTGAGGATATGAAAGGACTGACATGTCTTTTTGAGATGGGGGTAAGATAGAGTACAGCCAAGTGTGGGAAGAAAATTAAGCTGAGATGTAGTTTTTAATTACCAATAAAGCCATGCTCTAGGACAGAGGGTTGAGAGCTGGACTTGGTCTCTTCCTACTGTTCCTACTTCCTACAGCTAATGCTTACTGTGGAGTTGAATTTGTAATATTGGAATGTTCATGCTGGCCCCTCTTCCCTTCTGTAATTATTTAGACCACAGCTGTGGCCAAAGACTTCCAGTGGGTGCCAGTAAAATGCTGAAGGGCAGCATAAGTGCAGAAGCAAGCTGTCCCTTCACCAGCTGATCACCCAGATGAGGAGCAAGGGAGGATGGGCTCTGGACTGTACTGTTCCCTGCTCAGAACATTTCCTGTTTTCCAGAACATGCAATTTCAGGTTTCCTTCACCACCTCTGAAGGTTGGAGATGTTTGCTTTAAATGAATTCTGTGTTTCCTCCTTGATTACCTGAACCCAAGAACTGGAGCTGTGATCACAGTGTTTGGTTTCCCAGATCTACTGAATTCATGAAAGACAATTATGGATGGTCAATGTCTGGACACATCTCAGGCCTCTAGTCTCATTTTGAGAAATGCGAGGAGAAATGCTGTGATCTTCCTGGCAATAACTCTTCATGTGCTTTGGCACCCCATTAGGCCAGTTAATAAACCTATCACATGCCATGGAGGGGAGGCAGCTCCCTTGTTCAACTGGAAGAGAGAAAGTTATTTGTCCAAAGCCATGGAAGGGAATGATGTTAAAGCCTGAGTTAGCACTTCCAAATTTCTGATGACTAAAAGCAGTTTTAGACTTTTCCTCTCTCCCAGCACTTACCACAGTGCTTTTATAATCTGAAAAGAGATGCTTGAAGACAGGGAACAGACCCATAGCAAGGAAAGACAGGAGCTCTGTTCCCCTGTTCTTACCGGTACTCTAGGGCAAATAACCAGATGTTTCAAGATGCTCCTTCCAGGCATAGGTGTATTTTACTGGTTAGCACATAATCCCTGTATTTCAGGCTTAGCATCTTTTGACAGGAGTCTTGCACATTTAAGATTTTTCAGTTACACACTGATAACTCGTTATTCTACAAATCTATTTGGCTTACAGAAAAGAAAAACCCTACAGAAGATATCACAGCATAACACATCCTCACTTCCCCTCCCTTCAAGATTACACGCTGCTGCCCAGATAATATTCCAGGGTGGATGGCATCTTTCATCTGCTCCATCTTATTAAAACCCCCTAGCACAGGGCATGAATATTCACGGGCACTATATATAGCACTGTGCATGTTAGTACCCACGGCTGGGAGCACAGCTTGGGTACCCACACTACGATCTGGACGTTTGGGTGTTTGTAGGGCCTTTTTCTCTGTGGCCACCCAGGCTCTCGCTGGTGGTGGCCCCAGCGCGGTGCGAGGACTCTGCTGCTGTGCTCTCCTGGCAGGGATTGCACAGGGTTTCAAAGCTTCGCTCCAGTGTGGTTATTAAAGGCTTTTGTTTATCTTGTGAAATCTGCTCTGTGAATGCTGACACCGGCTGAAGTGCTGGGAGAGTTTCCCCGGCTCTTCCTCTCGCTGTCTCTCACGGGTCTATTCCCATGAAAACGATCTCAGGTGTGCGGTGCGTCATCATCCTACCCCGGGCGCTTTCTGCCTTACTGGCAGGGAAGATGAATGCGCACTTTCTGAAGCTCTGCCCATGCCCCGGTGCTCCTCCTGCTTCCAGCCCGCTGCAGGGACCCGGGGCTCCCAGCAGGAGAACAGCCCATGCTGGGCAATACTGCCTCGAGCTCATCTGTGCTGCTCAAGCAGCATTTTCCCAGCCTCTCTCCTGTCTCACCCCGCAGGGACCCAACCTCTGCCAGGTGAGCAGAGTCCTCTCACGACGGGCCCTGCTGCAGCATATGCTGCCAGATAGGAAAGCAACACAGGCTCCAGGGGTGGGGGTCTCAACATGGCAAAGCTCACACAGTGACAACACCATGGTGGTAGTCCTTAGCCCACAGCTTCCTTCTGCCCAGCCTGGTTCTGCTCACGGCTGAGGAGCGGATCCACCATGCCAGCAGCCACATGACCTGCAAGACACCCACATGAGGGGCATGCTGCAAGAATGGGATTCAGCAGCCCCACTTGCCCCATCCCTCCTCCTCTGCAGGGCCACAGAGGTGCCTCCACAGCAGGCTGTGCTGTCCCAGCAATGGCCCTGGCCTTGCAGGATGCCTCCTGCCACCAGCCACTCACTGGAGGGGCAGTGGGCATACAGCCTCAGCCTGGCTCCTCCGTGCAGTGCTGCCCTCCACGCCGCAGGCCTGTGGGAGGTTGCAGCAGAACCTGGCTCGCTTTCTGAGAAAACAAGGAAAGAGAGATTTACCCTAAGCCCTGGGAAGCCCATGTATTTTCATTGTATTTTAATTTAAAGCGATTGTCTGCCCCGCCCAAGATTATCTCATGGGAAAGAAAAGCCTGGCTCAGTGACTCGTGGTGAAACTTGTCCCCGAGCCAGATTTCCCACACCTGATGTTCCTCTGCAGCAGCAGAAACCGGTGTATTTCAGTTCACAACACAGCCCCAGGGGCAGTGCTGGGGGTGAGGGGACGGAGGGGGAGGATGGGACCCACATCTCCTCCTGCTCTCCCAGAACAAGTCAGGCAAGTTTGGGTGCTGAGTGGCTGGGTCCCAGAGCTGGAAAGGGCACGGTGTCACCCTGGGAATGGGCATCACGTGGTACCGCAGCCAAGGGAACCTGTCTCAGGGATACGTTGAAACATACCCTGCTCTCTTGTGCAATAGGTCTTTGCAAGTACAATGCCGTATTTATATGGTGGGAACGGAGAGCCCAGGGCTGGACTCAGCAGATGCGTGAGTAAGCAGCTTCCAGGAGGCCCAGGTGCCGGCTGGGCCAGCCCTGTGATTCCTCCTTAGGGAGCAGATGCATGCAGAGAGCTGGGGCTTGAGCAGCGTTTCCCAGCACAGGGGGGGTTCAGCTTAGGAGCTGTCTGATCAAAAATGAGCTGTTTCTTTGTGTATAAACACTCTATCACCTGGATGCACCAAAGCTTGGCTCTGAGAGAGGCAACAACGCAAAGGAGAGCCAAGATCTGTAAGCAGCACAAGCAGACCAAAGACAGGTGGAAAAAGTCAAATTGGCCCCTGCTTTCAAAATGGAAATGATTGCTTCAAGTGTAATCCATCAGACAACTTGATGAAAAAGCTAGTTAGCACCTGAAGTACATTTAAAAAGGTGGTAAAGCTGTTAACACAGTCATACCCCTCTCAGGAAAGGGGGAGGGTGTAATGTTCTTGTGATTGCATTTCAGCAGGGCTCCTGGCCCTGACTGCCCCCACAACTGGGCTCATTTCAGCTCCTGATCAGAAATCAGCCTGTTCTTTCATAGTAAGTAGGGTGTAACCTAGAGGGCTTCAAGCTCTCCTGAAGGGACCTTTGAGACTTGCCCTTCTGGCTCTGGGAAGGAGGCTGTGTTGAGTCAGATGAAACTTGGTATTATTTTGGGGATTAATTCCCTGTCAGGGTTTAGTGGAAGCTCGGGAAAGCATTGCCAGCTGGGATCTTGGCACAGCTGGGCCTGTTTAGGGTGTGCTCATACAGAGGAAAGAGAAGAAAGGCCCCAGTCTTCTTCACATCTCTCCCATCACTAGTACCAGAGCTCTATTGGAGCTTCGTGCAGAATTACATGACGTAGTGTTTGCCTGTGCTGAAGTTGTGTTGGCTACACCAGTAGGAACTCTCTGATGAGTTACTCTGTTGGATGCCGAAGCTTGCAGATCAGGATCTGAGTCAGAAACCAAAGTAAGAAGGATACTAAGAACTTCTACTCTACATGCACTATTTTGGCACTTGATGCTGATCACAGTTCAATCAGATTGAATAAAAGTCCCTTCTTGTCTCAGGTAAGTGACACTTGTATGGAATCACACTTGTCTATCAATGGGCTTGGCTAGCTTAATTCAGCCTGGTGGGGTGGTTTTGTATTAGCAACCGTCTCCCAGGAACTATGCTGTGCTCTCAGCATCATCTGAAAATACAAGTTGGTCAAGCAAGCACTGCGACACAGAAACAAGCCTGAGCCTTACCAGAGCTCTCTTTGTCCCAGCAAAGCCACCTGGGGCTCCATTTAATGAGATAGCCCAGCTCCTGGGAGGGGTGATGGTGAGGCTGAGTTCACAGGTTTCAGCGAGTTTTAGTGTGCTTATTGTGCACATGACAGGATATGGCTCAGTGGAGTGACTCATTCCGTGAGAAGTTAATTCACACTTCCCTGCTGTTTCCATTCGCAGGTCTTTCTGGGAGCTTGAGTGCTGGGAAGCTGCAAAGCTGGCTCTTCTTATCAGCAGTAATTCCCTGTTCCCTTCCAGTTTCTGCATTTGGTGTGCTCATTGCCTGTGCTCCACCATGTTTTGTTGTTTTGTTTTTTTTTTTTAATCTGAGCCCCAAATGCAGACAGATAAAAGCCCTCCATAGTCCTGTGTGTGAACTTTTAGGATAGAGTTTTGATGTTGTAGAAGCAAACTTTTCAGCATTTCATTAAGCACTTGCTAGTGTTTAACTACCAAATTTAAGTGAGTTCAGTGGCAAAATTACCTACCAGCCTAATGACAGAGCAGCAAGCTGTTATTAGGTCTCCAAACACAAGTTCCATTTGGGCTTGTCTGAGGCCCTCCAGACCAGTCCCTGGCTGATGGCTTAAGGAGGGGCACCAGGAGCATTGCAAACTCATTGTTTGTCCTTTCAGCAGCCTCCATCCTGAGCAGCTGCTGAGGGAGGGGAACATTATCTGAGGCCACAGGAGGATCTTCAAGGCTTTCAGTGATTGGAGGGGGAGGGATTTTTACTCCTGTTGAGTCCTAACTTTACAAGGGAGAAATGAGGCAATTCCCCTCTTACCTTACTGTCAGTAAAATGGAATACCTCCTCCACTATCTATAATCCAAGCTTACTTTGCTCTGACAAAATGATGAATGCCAACTGCAGACATTTAAAAAAAAAAAAAAAATTTATTTGAACAAATATTTGACACAATCACAGAGGAAGAAAGCAGCTCTCAGTACAGTTTCTTTTCCAGAATGAAAGAATCCCTGTTTATACCAAGCTACTGCAGGACAATGTTTGCTCTCCCCAGCATGGGGCAAGGCTACTGTTCTTTGTACCTGTGGATTTGCTCTGTACAAGGACAGTGCAGCAGGTCACATCTGAATCCTTGCTTTCACAGGTTAAAGAAATGCATAAAGACCCAACAGACAAACTGAAGTCATAATATAACAAAGGTGCCTGTACAGGTAAGAAACACTGGGATATATGGTGAGAGCTTTGTTCAATACATGGTATGCTGTCTAGAGATGTGTAGCATGCCTCACTTCTAGCGACTGCCTTTTTACTCTCCATCTCTGTGGATCCCTCACTGGACCTGGACAGCATTTTGGTTGGGGGAGTCCTGTCAACTCACAACTCATTCTGGCACACTAGTCTGTTGAGGTCTCAAAGCCCTACCCAACAAGCAGCTCTATGGCTGAAAGAAGACTTGCCCATCTCATTCAGACCACTGATAATAGCATCCTCATGTCATGTCCTGGGGACTACGTGAGCTGTACCACAAAGAGAGATGTTTGCAGGCATTTGGATCTAGAGCCACACTGGATTGTATGTACTTATTTTTGTACAAGCCCACTGGCCCAATTACACATTCTTTCAGCACAAGGCAAACATTCCCAGCTATATCCCCAAACATCACATTATTTCAGAGCATTCCCAAAGTGATGGATAATGTCTAGATGCAGAGAACCCCAAGTATTGAAAGCATTGCTTGACAGATCTGTCATACTTTGCTATACAAGCCAGAATAAAATGTCTGTGAGAAAAGTTTTAGAAGTTAATGCAAGTTCTGCAATAAAGTATGAGTAGACTCACTAGTAAATGAATCCCCCGAGAAACAGGGGAGTGGGCAACGAAGCAAACATAGCAAATATCTGTCTCTGACAGGAACTTCATGAGTTTCCTTTGCTTTTAGTTTCAGCAGATCAAGCTGTGATCCTTGAGAAAGGAAAGCACAACAGAAAGAAGCCCTGAGCCCTCCATTCCTGTTCAGCAACCTCAGGAAGGACAGCATGAGGTAATTGCTATTCTCCTGTCTAGGTTTGAAACAGAGGATTTTACTGGCCAAGAGGAACTCTCTCTCTACAGACCCTTCCTTTTTGATTCAGAATTTAAAGTATGGACAACATTACGCTCAAATTGACGTCACTAGTCCCTAAATGACTCACCGATTAAGTAGAATCACAACTTTCATTTAACGCTGTTCCTTCTTTCCTTATTCATTTTCCCTTCTTTCACCTCTTCTTCCCTTTTATTCCCTTGCTTTTCTACCTTCTCTCCTTTTCTTTTCTAACGTACGCTGACTTTCCATCCACATTTCACCTCTTGGCAGCGTTACAAACCTTTCACTGACACAGTTTGCCCTCTGCTAGGCAGACAGAGCCACCCTTGGCTGCTCCTCACCTATTCTTTCTCTCTGATCACTACACAAAGGCCTTTCATAACAGGTCCCCAAGTTCATGACCCCCTCTTCAGATGGGGCTACAGCACTGGCACTCAGTGGAGTCCAGTTCTTTTCAAAGAACATTTTGCTTAAAGAATCAATGCAGCTTCCAATGCATGTTCTCTTCAGCTGGCTAATGGCCTTTATTTAGGAAAAACCTTCTCAAGGGCACTCTGAATACAGGGCTTTTAAGAAAGAGTGCAGCTTTTTTTCCCAGCCAAGTGGCATCTAGCTATTTGGAAAAGCAGAATCAGAGGAGAAACACAAGCCTTGCTTTACAGTCTCAGCAGCCTGTGTTTGACCACACTGCAGTCACCCATAGCTGTCCCTGCCCTCCTCATTCTGTCAGGACTCTGGAAGCCTGTTAGTTTCAGACAGAAAAATGGCCATTTTGATCAATGTAAGGAACATGCCTGTTCTGCAGTACTAAGTTTTGATATAGGCTCCTATATTAGCCTGGGACACAACAGGCGTGTCCATCAGGTACTTAGAGCTGCCTGGACCGTTCCAAATCCCAGCACAACAGTTCACGTTTCCCAGGCATCAGATGCTGTAACCCAGCAAGAGCCAGGTTTCCAAGCCCAGCAGCTTATCATACCCTCCTCACTGGGGCCACAGGAGCAGTCACTCCAAGAAGGTGTGGAGCAATACTGGCATCACGTGTTTCTTTTGTCTCCTCTTCCCAAGCACAATTTCAGACAAAGCAGAAGAACTTCTTCCAGCGGCACTTGGAGAGAGTTTTGATGCCTTTGGCTGTCATCTTCTTTTCCTGACGTGCTTTATGCTCAACACCGCTGACAATGGCCATGTCAAACACTTCTTTGAGGTTCTTCTGGGTCAGTGCTGAGCACTCCAGGTAGGCTTCAGCCCGGATTTTGTCTGCTAGACCTTCTGCCTGAGGCCGGGGCACGGGCTTCACATGGTAGCGATCCAGGCTGATGAGGACATTGACATCATCCCGCAAGTCTGCCTGTGTCCCCACTAGGAGCACTGGAGCCCGGGGGTTGTGAGTTCGTATCTCAGGGATCCATTTCTCTGTAATGTTTTGGAAGGAGCTTGGATTTACCACACTGAAGCAGACAAGGAAGACGTCAGTGTCTGGGTAGCAAAGTGAGCGCAAACAGTCAAAATCCTCCTGTAGAGAATGGAGAGGGGGAAAAAAAAAATCTTCACTGGACTGAACATGAGAGTTCTAAGAGCACGATGCTGCAGTGACATTTTCACACGTTAACTAGGACATTCACCAGTCTGTGTCTGCCATGTCAGCGAATGGCTGACACTGTGCTAGCAAATCTCCTTCCTTTCCAGTTAAATACTGCCTTCCACAAAAACCTGCAAATGGACCCTGTCCCACAGGACCGGAGCTGATCGTTCCTTTGACAGAGCTTACCTGGCCAGCAGTGTCCCACAGCTGGATCCGCACTGGAGCTCCATCCACCAGGACCTGCACTGTAACAGAAAGAGAATAAGGATGAGACCACAGAAGTCTTCAGCACATGCGCATACTTTTTTTCTTTTTTCCCCTTGGAGTACTTCGTTTTGTATCCTGCTAAAGAGACCTCTGAAGTCACTGAAGTCACTTCAGCCTGTCCTTGCTGTTGAGCATCCCCACAGACCTCACTAAAACAGCTGAAGTTTGCATTGGAAACAGTATGAGACATGCTATGGATGTCCTGATTTGGTTATCCCTCAGGTGCTTTGAACTGTTTTCCAGTATTCTCAAAGAATCGTTCCATATTACTGAAGAAGTCTTTCTTAGGAAGAAGAGACCTTAAACAAACAGTGCCCTGAAAACAATCTGTTGTTCTTCCACTCTCCAAGTGGAACAAACAGAACTTCAGCAACTTGTTCCCAGCTTCTTGGCTTAGGCAAGAAGCCCAAATCAGTCTTCGTTAAACGAACTATTGGTGATTTTCCCCATTTATTAAAAAACATATCTATTTCAGGAAGTGTCCCAGATAAGAAAAAGCAAATACCTAAAACCAACTTGGAAATAAAGAAGCTATGAAGGAAGCAGTGACGAGTGAAATCCCTTTCAGAGGCTATCCACACACTGAAAACTGCTGAGTTACAAATGTGAGGTCTGCTCCCATTTCACTCCCTAATCACAGTAAGCCTTCATGTGGTATCAGCTGACTCAGACTGAGGGCTGGCAGGACCTCTAATGGAAATCTGGAATGAAACTGTTAGATGTTTAAGTGCACAGACACCGCAGAGTCTGGCTGGGAACTGAGGAAAAGGAGAGAAAGATGCCAGAGGAACACGCAACCAATTAAAAGTCTTGACAATGTGGATGGGGATGTGCTCTGCTGAATGGAGGCAGACATCCTGTGCTAAAGTGACAATGGCTGGCACTTCACACTAGCTAGCTAAACCACTTCTTTGGGCCCAGGAGGAGGCTTTATTGTTGTTTTTTTTTTTCTGTTTTTTTTTTTGTTTTGTTTTCTTTTTTTCCCCTTTAATTAGAAAAAAAAAGACAAAAGACAGGAATAAAAAAAGATCGATCCTATTTCTAAGGTAATTAGCCAGGTGGCAAAAAGTGACAGAAACAACTGACCTGGAGAGCCTAATAGAATCTCTTGGAGAAGACCTCTCCTCCCTGGGAGCAGACTGGGGAGAAGGAGGGAGGCACAAAGCGTGAACTGAAACCGGGTGGGAGACAGCGAGTGAAAGAAAAATGAAGGGGTGGGTGAGTACACCACAGTGCCACTCCTCGCGGGATAGCTGAAAGTCATAGCTTCCTTGTGACTGGGAATCGGTTGGATCGTTACCATATCTTTGCCCCAGAGGAGGAAGAGAAACCTGTTCTTGATCAAAGAACCTGCTAGATGCTGACTTGATCTTCAAGGCACTGGGCATTTGCCTTTCTAGTATCTGGTTTCTTCTGCCTCCAAAGTGCGCTAAGAGAACAAATTAGCATCTCTGAAGGTTTTACAGCCTTCAGAAAAAAAAAAAAAAGAAAGAAAAAAAAAAAAGGCACCATGTATATTACCTGCTGCTCCAGTGCTTGCACAAGGATTTTTCGTACCTGCTGCAAGCTAAGCTACTCTAGCAACTCTGTGACAAGTCTCTACCTACCGCCCGCACCGGGTCCACACCCCGGGGATCACGGCACAACAGCAGAGGGGCCTGCAGAACAGGATAGCCTGGTGGGGAAAGGTCAGCGGGTATGTGCTGCACTCAGCACTGCTGTGCCTGGCAGTGCACCCAGCCGCAGGCAGTGCCCGGGTGGTGGAGCTGCATCCCGCTCCTGGTGCTATTTCCCCTGATAATGCAGCACTTTCTCCTATCTCATTGACTTCTTTAGCTCCTACTGGCCTTACTGTCCATTGGCCAGAAGTTGGGTTAGGATGTGCCACTCACCTCTGCTGGAAGTTTCAGGTGCAAGCATTCCCAAAGATGAGGAAATCGGGCTGAAATTTCTGATTTGGGTCCTAAACTGTCCTTTGTGAACCCAGGAAGGTACTTTTTTCAAGCTTATCCAACTTAACAGTGGGAAGGGAAATTCCTCAATTCTCCCTGTTTGGCTTTGCCCTTCTCCCAAGATGAAACCAGACTTTAAAGAAAAATCTTTAATGATATTTTGGGTTTATATGGTGCTATGCACCTCTGGAAGGCAGGCTTGGTAGCTTGACGTTCAGAGTGGGGCTAACCCTCTGCCCAGCTCTCCTCAAACTACTTGCTGCTAGGAAAGAAGTCTTGGAATCCACACTCATCTCCACCTTTCTTGATCATTTTCCTATGAACTTGCCCTTTCAGAAAGTTCAGTTCAGTTGGAGGCTCCTGACCCTCACAACTTAGCACAAACCGAACAGATGAGCTTGAGGAGAGCGGAGAGAGCAGGAACCTTCTCATGGAGGACTTGAGGGCTCTTGCAACTGTTCCCAAGGGACTGCAGGACCCCAAACAGCAACAGCGTTGTTGCTCAAATTGGCAATTCTTAGTGCAACTGAGAAGATAGTCAGACAAAGAAAACGATCCCTGTGAGAGCCCATGAGACTATGACACACCAAAAGTCTAATTCCTGGTCTGACCTGAGCCCATCTCTGATCTACCTATCTGCACCATCACATACTGCTGTGTTTCTTCAGATCTGATGACAATCAGCAATCTTTCCAAGGGTTTTTTTTTTTATTTTTATTTTTCTGGGCTTTGTACAAGAAGTTGGAGCCCAAAAAAAGGAGCGGTGGAAACAAGCACCAAGACAGCATTTACAAAAGTAGGAAAACTAATGAGAGCTCATCAGATGACAGAGAAGGCTTTTTAGACAGACTTATACAGCCCTTCAATTTTTTTGCGACCTCTGCTCCAGGCTCACTTCAACGACCGTGAGGGGAAAGGCGTGGTTTTGCTGAACATCAGTTGAAGACAGCAAGCCTGCAGTTCAATGCTGTGATACCCCTGAAGCTAACAAACCAAACAGGAACGAAAGCCCCTTCTCCTTCCCCATACAGCCACCCCGCAAGGCCGTGTGGGTGGGCACGTACCTGAGAAGGTGTCGAGGGCGGTGGGCTGGTACTCGTCGGGGTACCCGTTGGTGGTGTAGCTGACGACGAGGCTGGTCTTGCCCACGGCCCCATCGCCCACCAGCACGCACTTGATGCCCAGCTCGGGGCCGCTGCCCCGGGGCGGGCTGTGTCTGCGCAGGGCCGGCGCGTAGTCCAGCAGCTCCTGAGGAGGCATGGCTGCAGCGCGGGCTCAGCGGGGGTTGCGGCACTGCGGGGCCGCTGCCATGCCCGGCCGGCTGCGCTGCTACCGAACGGGGCCACCCTTCCCGGCCCGCCTCAGCCCGATCCTCATGGATACACCTGCCGCCCGCAGCCCAAAACCGGCCCTCATTTCCATAGGCCCGCCCCGGACCGCCCCGATCCGCCTCTCCGGGCCGGGCCGGCCGCCCCGCGCTGCTGCCTGCGCTCCCTGGGCCGGTGGAGATGGAGCTGCGGTGCTGGTGGTCAGCGTGGAGAAGTCAGCGGAAGGGAATGGCAGAAACACGTCGCCACGTCGCGAACAGAAGTGGCCGCACCATCAGAGCGACGGCTGCACCGCCGTGTTACATCGCTAAGCAACAGAAAGCACTGCGAGGGAAGCGCTGCTGCATGCACTGCTTGTATTGCGACATCAGCCCTGAAAGTGGAGCTGTCTCCTGGTGGAGGAGCAAAACTCGAGCTGGCAATAGATGCCGCCATGTCCTTACACGATGTCCTTCACCACATGCACAAGGGGAGAGCTGCCTGCACCCGGCAAGGAACCGCAGATGAGCAGCTCCCCAGCTTGAGTCTCACTGCACTGTGCACCACAGCGAGCAGCTACCCAGGTATTACATGTCTTAATGCTGGGCTTGATAAGGGGTTCTTAAACTAGGCACAGTCTAACATGCTTTTTCCTTCCCGTGGTTGGTAGAGGAGCTCAGCAGCTCCTCCAGTTGAAGAGACCTGGCTGATGCCACCCTCCAAATGTGCACCTTTTGCAGACAATCCACAACTCCCTGAAATAGCACTGAGCAGGAGGCTCTCTCTGCAGTTTCCTTCAGCAGTTTCTTCCATCTCCCTGCTATGCATTTTTACCAGCACATCCTTGAATTTCTATAGGTACAACAACAGGGGCAGTATTGCAAGCAAGGCAGCTGCTAAAATATGTGCCCAGGTCGTGCTGCAGCGGGCAGCTGCTTATTCTAGTGACTGGATTGCAGAAGAGCCTCTCCCAGTGCCGAGCTCTTTGGTGTCAGTTCAGTGGGTGAACGCAGAATGTCCTCAACAGCCTCATAAGGCACAGGGCCAGGCTGTATTCCCTGCATAACACACAGATAGGGCAAGCAGGAGGACACGCAGCCCTGCAGCCAGGACAGGCAGCACAGCACACGAAGGTCACGCAGCGCATGTGCCAAACACGGGTGACATTATGTGAACTATGGCATTTCCATTCAATCGGAATAAACAAATGTAAATGAGGGATTATGCACCAAGTTATTCACGGCTAGCAAGTGCCAGCAGTAGCAGAGGGGTGAGATGAAAAGATGTCAGCAGCTTCAGATTCTTACTGGGTTTTCACTTGGGAATAGATATCTGCTGGTATGACGCACATATTGCCCTGCTCCAGTGACTGAATCCCTTTTTCTTTTGCTCCCTTCCTAAAAGATCTTACTGTGTTTTCTCTCCTTTGCTGTTTCTGACAGCCGTTGGTTAACATGCACTTAACTTGTGGATGAGCTTAAGTGATTTTTAATCTATATTTAAACTAAGCGATTAAGTAACAGGGCAGCTCCCACGGGTTCCTTTCTCAGGACTTGCCTTGCTCCTGACGTCTAACAGAAGACACAGATTTAGTTTCACAACGCAGCAAGGAATCACGCAGTAGGAGTCACACATTCTGATTCTGCAAGATTTGGGTACAAACTAGTTTTGCAGTGAAAGTCTATCCCATTCCTCGAGCTGCTGGAGGGCCAAAAGTAGAGATGGGCTGTGCACAGAAAGCAGCACGCCATCAGTTTTTGCCTGAATGCAACACATACAGTCTCCAAGGCTACGTTTGGCCTCTCTCCCAGGAATTATAATTAGTACCAATTATGATGGTATTCCTCATGATGGGAATACCCGTCTAAGGGAATGAGGTGTAGAAAATCACATTTTTCTAGGCAGACCAAGTACAGAGTTCATATATTGTTGGTATTCAGCCTCTGTTCAACTGGGCTGCGCTACCACTGGTAGCTTCTGCTTAACTCAAACAGAAAAGCAATGGGAACTCCATTAGAGTACACAAAAATGATTTACAGTGGAAATTCAACTTATATAGGCAGTGTGGTTGTCACCACTGAAGAAAGTTTATACAGCTGCACAAAGTCTTATTATTAAAAAACAAAAAACCCTCAAAACACAATGGAGTTATTTGGAGGAAGGCACTTGCTTCTCTGCACATTGTTGTTCATACAGAGGATCACAGAATCATTAAGGTTGGAAAAGACTCTTAAAATCATCAAGTCCAACTGTCAACACAACCCCACTAATCACGTCCCTCAGTGTCACATCTACCTGCTTCTGGAATACCTCCAGAGATGGTGACACCACCACCTTACTGGGCAATCCATTCCAGTGCCTCACCACTCTTTCTGACAAGAAGTTCTTCCTAATATCCAACCTGAACTTCCTCTGGCACAACTTAAGACCATTACCCCCCATCCTATCAAATTACAGCCACCTTGCTCACTTGAAGCTGTGGCAGGAAAGGTCTGACTATGGGCTGAGTTAAAAAAAACCAAACTGAACCACTTTGGATGAAAAGGGGAATAGGAAATGAGGGCTCATCTCTCATGGTGGGGGTAAACCTATAGGACAGCACAAACTATTCCATGTAATTTCCCCTCTAAAGTGCAGGGTTACCATCCTGGGAATTTTGTGGTCTCGACTTTCACTGGGGAGCAGTGAGCCTCAGATATCATGGTATTCTGCCTCCCTTGTGTTCATCTCATTTGTAACTTTGCAATTATGTGTGGCCACAGAACAGCACAGACAGGGAGCCTTCTGCACACCCTGCTCAGATTGCCTCAGAAATAACACTACATGTTGTGGGAAATGTCAGACCTCTGTTTTAAAAACAAAGGGGGTTTTAAAAACAGCAGGGCTTCCTCCTTACCAAGAGAGAGAAATGTATGCTGGTCGATCTTGGCATGGCCACTGGGTGCTGAGCAAACCTGCTGCTTTACCTGCATTTGTACAACTGTATATCAACACACTCCCTTTGCAAACGATGCACTTGGATCGCATTTCTGAATCCTTTCATAGTACTGTGTGTGTGGGGAAGCACCAAACAATAAGGAAGGGGAGGTGATGAAAACAGGGAAACAACACGGGCATGCAGCAGGGCAGGGTGGGTGTGGATCTGGATTAGGAGAGGGGCTAGAGGGGAGTGCAGGTGCCAGAGCAAACAGGATCATGGGACGCCATGGGAAATGCTGAAGAAGTCAAACATAGCCACTGCCAGCAAGCCGCTTTCATAATCCTGAACAGGGAGACAGCTAATGCTGAGTCACAGGGCATTTTGTCATGCACCTGAGTTACATCCTCCCTGGGAAAAATAAAGTGTAATTACAACTTAAAAGCAGTGACAGACAAAAAGGTAGAGAAGAGCCTGCTCTGGTTTTCCCTAGCATGCACCTTGTCTAGCCACTGCAACCTGCAGGAAGTGATGTCAAATGCATTTTCCATATCATTTTCTTACAGCCTTACAGAGCCACAAAGCACAACCCAGGAGCACACAGGGCTTCTGTTATTCACAGAAAAATTACCACATCTGAAGTAAAAGGAAGAAAGGTCATAATATTTGCTTTCCCATACAGATTTCTTGACTGATAGTAACTCCTTAGTTTCTGAATCCACAGCAATAAAAATACTTCACAATTTTACGGCAGTCAATGCGTATTTCTGGTGTACATCAGAGATGTGTGATTTTGAAATGACTTTTAATAATAAAAAATTATGTGGAGAAGCAATGCAAGAACGCAGGTCCCTCTGCCCTGGCCTCTGAATGTCTTTCTTCCTCTTTGAAATTAAAAGCAATGCCATGGGAGATGCAGAAGGATGTTCTGGCTCATCTGTTCACTGCCATACTTGCTAAATGTGAGGGCAGACAGCTGCACCAATGGTATTATATTAGATTTTAAGATTACTGAATAATAAATTAAAACAAAATGGCAGTGCCACTAGGTTCAAAAGTATTAAGTGTTCCAAGGAAAGATTAAGCACCTGTATCTGTACTCAGCCCTTTCTCAAAGACAAATTATCTTCTATGCGACTTGCACAGAAAGGAGTGCTGCCTCTGTGATGTTCTATAAATAATTCAGAAGTATGTTGCCATCTGCTGGAGAAAGTACATCTTTCATTACACCAACTGATAAATGTGGGAAAGTGAGGGAGGTTTGAGACATCAAAAACCCTTTCTTGAAATCTGAAAAGAAACAGAATACTTCTGATTAAGGGTAAATTGGTAAATTAATCCAAGCTTATTTTAATTATGCCAATCAGTTAGACACCTTAAGAGAAAACACTTAACTGGAAGAAGTGAGGGAATTAGCATGTTTGTACTCTTTCTTCCTTGTATTTGTACGCTCATTTTTGCACTTAATGGGTTACACCTGTGGAGTTTCCATGAGGGCACTTGTTGTTGCTTTGGGAGAAGAACATGTGTTTGCTTATGGCTTTTATAAATGAGATTTATTTTTATGTTGACAACAGTTATGCAGTGTTCTATAGATAGTGAGATTAAGTGACGCCCAGTACCATATCCGCAGTGAAAATCAGTAGGGAAGTCCAGGGTTTAATTAAGATCATAATTGTGTTGCTAGGTAATCTCTGGGTCAATTCAAGTCATTTAGATCTCAGATGCATTTGTTACGCCCTTCCATCTTCCCAAAGCCACATCCTCCTGCCCTCTCTTCTGCACCAGCACATCATGGATCACATGGTCATCAGGTATGGGGCACTGAATGGCTCAATCTGCGAGCATACATGCATTAGTGCACATAGCATGGGCTGGGCAGGGCAGCCAGAAATGGCAGAGGTGGTGTCATGGGAGCACAAATTTAGACAAGCTCCCAGGAATCTGTTCCTCTCATATAGTACATTTATCCATGCCATTATCTAAAATTGGTCCTGAAAGGCAGTTGAAGAGGTTAGATGTTATACAGCATCTAAATGGTGACAGCTGTGTCCATAGCTTGGAGAAAATGTTAACCATTTGAGCTGGATCTGCTGTGAGTGTGAGCACAGCCATAGAAATAAGACCAGGGTTCGGTCTTCCAGTTGAAATGCATCATCAGAATTGCTTACTGAAATCTCTCCCACAAGTTCCCCTTATCAAGTTAATG